ACCTCTCGCTAGGATGGTGCTAAAAGCCGCATTCACCCCTCAAGCCTACCGTGCATGAAGTTGCCATTTCCCACTCGGCATTCGATCACCTTCTCGCCAAGGACCGCCTCAATATGATGCCGAACCTACACGTGAACTCAGAAAAAGTGATACCACTCCTTCGCTGCATCCTACCGCGACGGCCATAGCAGGGGCAAATCCGAAGACCGTAACCCAACATCCTGAGGGCCGTCCAGCGCCCATCGCCGAAAGCCCACCTAGAGATGCTCCGGCGCTCGCCAAAGGACCAAACTAAAGACGCGAAATAACACAACAGATGACCACAGTAGCGAACATCCCATCTCGAAATCTGGGAACAACCCTACTACTCCCACATCATCAGCTGTATATGCGCCGCTCCTATTGTGCACAATTCCACTCGTATCCAACAGCCCTCTAGCACTACCACCTGCTGGTCCTCCCTTAGCAGGGAAGCTTGAAAACATCTGACAAAGAAGCCCTCTTAATACGTAGTAACAACATTGTTGTTGTTATTGTTCATCAAGCCACTCGTCGACAAGCATGAGGAGGAGGGGAGGTGTAATGATGATAGACGCCCTCGACATTCAGTAACGTAGTGGGGACTATTGGCTGGGTGGGGCCGCTATGCCCGCTATGGACAATGCATTGAGAAAGTTGTCTCTCGAATGGGGCCGCTATGCCCGCTATGGACAATGCATTGAGAAAGTTGTCTCGCGAATGGGGCCGCTATGCCCGCTATGGACAATGTTATTGAGAAAGTTGTCTCGCGAATGGGGCCGCTATGCCCGCTATGGACAATGTTATTGAGAAAGTTGTCTCTCGAATGGGGCCGCTATGCCCGCTATGGACAATGCATTGAGAAAGTTGTCTCGCGAATGGGGCCGCTATGCCCGCTATGGACAATGTTATTGAGAAAGTTGTCTCTCGAATGGGGCCGCTATGCCCGCTATGGACAATGCCATTGAGAAAGTTGTCTCGCGAATGGGGCCGCTATGCCCGCTATGGACAATGTCATTAAGAAAGTTGTCTCGCGAATGGGGCCGCTATGCCCGATGGACAAATTGCCCAGGGCAATCCCATTCAGAAATCTTTCAGGTGAGTGGGGCCGCTATGCCCACTATGGACAATACAATCCAAAATTGATTTGGCGAGTGGGGTCGCTATGCCTGTGGTCCAAGATTTCTCATGGGCGATTAAAGATATTGATGTAGCGCTGAGGCTCAAGTAAAAGCATCACATTAGCGAATAAGAAACTGACTTTCAGCGAGGCACTGTAAATAGTTCAGTTCCGCCAATAGATACATTGATTCCATGATTGATGAAAGTAATTTCACAGATAGGGACATTCGGGGAACCACACAGTCACCCAAAGAATCATCTCCGCAACGATATGTCTCTGAATGATATAATCAGCGGACTAGTCTGCTATATATAAAGTTCCTATTCAATCAACCAAATACCCCCTCCCAGTTAATACAGTGGGTATGTCATCGCCTGGTGGTGGTAGGTCCTCCCTTGCAGCATAGTCCAATGGATCCGAGCCAACGTATCCTCTCTGTGTTGGAGCACCTACAGAATCTCAACTACAGGCAAGATGACGCTAAACGCTAAGAAATCACAAGACTAGACGGAGTGAATAACTCACTACTGACTGATAAGTTCAGACTAATCACATCGATCTTACCACTATCCCCGAAGAGATCAGCCTGCTGCTGCTTCAAGCCATAGCTAAGTGGGCCTTTGTCCTCCGAGTGGTGCCCAAAGAGACCTCCACTTCTTGGAGGGGTATCATTGGATGGTGGCCGAAACATGATATTGGGAACCCTACTGAATGACGCCAACTCGTGAAAGACAAGGAACCCTGCTTGAGAACAGTTGCAAGGACCCCGTATGAGCCTTCTCCGTATCGGTGAAATAAGAAGTACAGCACGTCTACAACACAAACAGAAAGTATGCGAACAACATACGGGTGAAAGCTCAAACCAACCGGAAA